TTTGGCTGGGGCCCTTGGTGGCCGGGGCTGGCACCGACCCTGCCATAAACGGCTGCGTTCCTCCATCTAGTGCGGAGATCATGGACATTGGGGGCACCCCCCCCCAAACCTGAATAAGGTCCATGATCTCCACCCTGGACGAGGAAGACACCCACCTTCTCCGGGCCCTGGCAGGTGGGGGTTGGCAGCCAGTGGCTTGCTGGCTCATGTTTTGGGGCCACTGGGTCAGAGGTAATGACTGCTGGCTCTGGCCTGGCAGGCTTGGAGCTGGCACAGGCACTATGGCCAGGGTCTACCCCTTTAATGGCTTCGTGGTGGGGGTAGAGGAGAGTAAGTTTTCCTGGTTGTGCCCAGAGTGGCCACCAGGGCTCCCTGGGAAGGGTTGGAGGCCCCCTATTTCAAATTAAGTGTCTACACAGCACTTAATTCAAAATAGCTATTTCGAATTTGGCATTACTCCTCGTAGAATCAGGTTTACCAAATTCGAATTAAGGGCTCCGCTATTTCAAATTAATTTCGAAATAGCGGTTTGCATGTATAGACGCAATTAAAGTTAATTCAAAATAATGGTTGATATTTCGAATTAACTTTGCAGTGTTGACATACCCTTAGGGAATCCAATCTAAAGATAACTCACTGTCATATTAATTGACCATGTGTCATCAGTGTATTCCAAATTTCATTTTTAACCATCACAATCCACCTTTCCTCTTTCCCCATTTCTCATTTAACATTGATGATGAACATTCATGCAGCTTCGGCATGGGCACAATACCTGCGCTTCTGGCGAGAGCTGTTTCTCTCTTTCCTGCAAGGACATTTTACAATAAGACTGTAAAGCCAAGTAGTTCTTCCGTTTCCATTTTCTGTCTAACCTGTCTGCATGTTGTTTGCAATAAGCAAAAAAAGGATCTGCTATGTCCTGTTACAGCAAGAAAATGGGATGGGAAAGAGGGGGAAAAAAAATCTAATTAGTACAATAATATGGAGGAATATATAGTTAGCATTCTAGAATATTTTTCATATATAGCACAATTAATATTGACAGCCAGTGGGAAGGAATATAATCTGAAATAGGAAAAGAACAGGTTAAAAATATTTATATAACTTAAATACATCTGGGACTGATTAAATTAATACCAGGGTACCTAAGGAACTAGCCGAGGCAATCTTGGAGCCATTAACAATTATCTGACACCTCCTGCAGGACAGGAGAGGTCCCAGAAGCCTGGAGAAGGGCAAATATAGTACTACTTTTTAAAAGACAGAACAAAGAGGACCCAGGGGATTATAGACCAGTCAGCCTAACTTCAATATATGGAAAGGCATTGAAGCAAATTATTAGACAATCGATTTGTGAGTATCTGGAGGAAAATAGGGTTATAAGGAAGAGTCAGCATGAATTGGTGAAGAGCAAAACATGCCAAACTTACTTAATTTCTTTCTTTGATAACTGAGCAAGTGGATGGGGAAAGTAATAGACGTGATAAACCTTATACAGTTCCACATGACATATCCAAAGTAAGAAAATGTGTTCTAGATAAATTTATTATGAAGTGGGTGCACAACTGGTTGAAAGACCAAAACTTTAAGGGTAGTTATCAATAGTTTGCTGTCAAGATGGTATGGTGCATTTAATGAGGTCAGTCATCTGCAATATTGACTTGGATAATGAAGTGGAAAGTATGCCTATAAAATCTGCAGAGGATACCAACTTGGGAGATGAAAGCACTTTGAAAGATAGTTTAAAATTCAAAAGAACCTCCAACTGGAGAACAGGTCTAAATAAAGTAAGATGAAATTCGATAAAGACAAATGCAAAGTACTTCACTGAAGAAGGAAGCATCTAATGTGCAAACGGTCAGTGCTTCTCAATTGTCTAGATCAGTGATTCTCAAACTTTTTAGCCCAGGGACCATCTGGCTTAATGTAAATCTTTCTACAGACCCCCCACACAGTTGCTAATGGAAAAAAATCACCATTAATTACATAATTAGGCCAGAGCCATTCTGCTAGTGCTGCAGGTAGGAAGAACAGTTTAATTTACAATATTATACAGATTAAACGTTTTAATATTCTCATGTTTATCAAACTTAATTTTAAATAAAGTAAACTATTACATCCAACACAAAAGGTTTCAATGTTTTATTTGAGTCAGGGGCCATTGACCCACAGAAAAATCAGTGGGGAACCACACATGCGAGAAGCAAAAAAACTCCTCCAAAAACACCAAACCCTCCCTGATATGGCCTCCAACTGAAGCACCTCACTCCACTGGTGCTCCAGCCCCATAGGGCGAGGGGAAGGGATAGGAAGGACTGAGGTTCAGGGCTTCACATAGGCCAGATTTACTTTTCTGGGGTTCCCAAGTTACTTGATTTTATGGGCACCCCCCCTTAGGCTCTGGGGTGAGGACAAAAATGAGGGGTTCATTGTGTGGGACAGAGCTGCCAGAGAGTGGAATGGGGTGCAAGATCTGGGAGGGAGGTGGGGTATAGAAGGGGGAGAGGTTGCGAGGTCTGGGTGGGAGGTAGGGTGTAGAAGCAAGCTGGGAGTAGGGTGTCTGGCCAGAGGGAGGGAGCAGGAGAAAGGGAGAGTGCAGTTTGTGTCCAGGAGGGAGGGTGCAGGAGCAATGGCAGATGTAGGAACAGGATGCAGGTAGGTGTCTGACCAGGGGAGAGGGAGTTGGAGCAAACTGAGGGTGAGTGGTTTTGGCGGGGGGAGGAGAGAGAGTGAGAGGGAATGGGGTGCAGGGGTCTGGGCGGGGGGGGCACTTACCTGACTTCGCGCCCCCTTGGAGTGGGGAAAGCCTCTAGACAGCATGCTGCTGTTCCCCCAGTGGAGGTGGGGGTTGGCAGCCAGTGGCTTGCTGGCTCATGTTTTGGGGCCACTGGGTCAGAGGTAATGACTGCTGGCTCTGGCCTGGCAGGCTTGGAGCTGGCACAGGCACTATGGCCAGGGTCTACCCCTTTAATGGCTTCGTGGTGGGGGTAGAGGAGAGTAAGTTTTCCTGGTTGTGCCCAGAGTGGCCACCAGGGCTCCCTGGGAAGGGTTGGAGGCCCCCTATTTCAAATTAAGTGTCTACACAGCACTTAATTCAAAATAGCTATTTCGAATTTGGCATTACTCCTCGTAGAATCAGGTTTACCAAATTCGAATTAAGGGCTCCGCTATTTCAAATTAATTTCGAAATAGCGGTTTGCATGTATAGACGCAATTAAAGTTAATTCAAAATAATGGTTGATATTTCGAATTAACTTTGCAGTGTTGACATACCCTTAGGGAATCCAATCTAAAGATAACTCACTGTCATATTAATTGACCATGTGTCATCAGTGTATTCCAAATTTCATTTTTAACCATCACAATCCACCTTTCCTCTTTCCCCATTTCTCATTTAACATTGATGATGAACATTCATGCAGCTTCGGCATGGGCACAATACCTGCGCTTCTGGCGAGAGCTGTTTCTCTCTTTCCTGCAAGGACATTTTACAATAAGACTGTAAAGCCAAGTAGTTCTTCCGTTTCCATTTTCTGTCTAACCTGTCTGCATGTTGTTTGCAATAAGCAAAAAAAGGATCTGCTATGTCCTGTTACAGCAAGAAAATGGGATGGGAAAGAGGGGGAAAAAAAATCTAATTAGTACAATAATATGGAGGAATATATAGTTAGCATTCTAGAATATTTTTCATATATAGCACAATTAATATTGACAGCCAGTGGGAAGGAATATAATCTGAAATAGGAAAAGAACAGGTTAAAAATATTTATATAACTTAAATACATCTGGGACTGATTAAATTAATACCAGGGTACCTAAGGAACTAGCCGAGGCAATCTTGGAGCCATTAACAATTATCTGACACCTCCTGCAGGACAGGAGAGGTCCCAGAAGCCTGGAGAAGGGCAAATATAGTACTACTTTTTAAAAGACAGAACAAAGAGGACCCAGGGGATTATAGACCAGTCAGCCTAACTTCAATATATGGAAAGGCATTGAAGCAAATTATTAGACAATCGATTTGTGAGTATCTGGAGGAAAATAGGGTTATAAGGAAGAGTCAGCATGAATTGGTGAAGAGCAAAACATGCCAAACTTACTTAATTTCTTTCTTTGATAACTGAGCAAGTGGATGGGGAAAGTAATAGACGTGATAAACCTTATACAGTTCCACATGACATATCCAAAGTAAGAAAATGTGTTCTAGATAAATTTATTATGAAGTGGGTGCACAACTGGTTGAAAGACCAAAACTTTAAGGGTAGTTATCAATAGTTTGCTGTCAAGATGGTATGGTGCATTTAATGAGGTCAGTCATCTGCAATATTGACTTGGATAATGAAGTGGAAAGTATGCCTATAAAATCTGCAGAGGATACCAACTTGGGAGATGAAAGCACTTTGAAAGATAGTTTAAAATTCAAAAGAACCTCCAACTGGAGAACAGGTCTAAATAAAGTAAGATGAAATTCGATAAAGACAAATGCAAAGTACTTCACTGAAGAAGGAAGCATCTAATGTGCAAACGGTCAGTGCTTCTCAATTGTCTAGATCAGTGATTCTCAAACTTTTTAGCCCAGGGACCATCTGGCTTAATGTAAATCTTTCTACAGACCCCCCACACAGTTGCTAATGGAAAAAAATCACCATTAATTACATAATTAGGCCAGAGCCATTCTGCTAGTGCTGCAGGTAGGAAGAACAGTTTAATTTACAATATTATACAGATTAAACGTTTTAATATTCTCATGTTTATCAAACTTAATTTTAAATAAAGTAAACTATTACATCCAACACAAAAGGTTTCAATGTTTTATTTGAGTCAGGGGCCATTGACCCACAGAAAAAATCAGTGGGGAACCACACATGCGAGAAGCAAAAAAACTCCTCCAAAAACACCAAACCCTCCCTGATATGGCCTCCAACTGAAGCACCTCACTCCACTGGTGCTCCAGCCCCATAGGGCGAGGGGAAGGGATAGGGAGGACTGAGGTTCAGGGCTTCACATAGGCCAGATTTACTTTTCTGGGGTTCCCAAGTTACTTGATTTTATGGGCACCCCCCCTTAGGCTCTGGGGTGAGGACAAAAATGAGGGGTTCATTGTGTGGGACAGAGCTGCCAGAGAGTGGAATGGGGTGCAAGATCTGGGAGGGAGGTGGGGTATAGAAGGGGGAGAGGTTGCGAGGTCTGGGTGGGAGGTAGGGTGTAGAAGCAAGCTGGGAGTAGGGTGTCTGGCCAGAGGGAGGGAGCAGGAGAAAGGGAGAGTGCAGTTTGTGTCCAGGAGGGAGGGTGCAGGAGCAATGGCAGATGTAGGAACAGGATGCAGGTAGGTGTCTGACCAGGGGAGAGGGAGTTGGAGCAAACTGAGGGTGAGTGGTTTTGGCGGGGGGAGGAGAGAGAGTGAGAGGGAATGGGGTGCAGGGGTCTGGGCGGGGGGGGCACTTACCTGACTTCGCGCCCCCTTGGAGTGGGGAAAGCCTCTAGACAGCATGCTGCTGTTCCCCCAGTGGAGTGGAGAGTGGGAGGGAGTTCTATGCAGCCCCTGTGGGGCTGAGGCAGCAACTCTAAGGGGCCAAGATCTGGGAGTACCTCCATCAGCTTTTGCCTTAAACCCACCTCAGCCAGTCTTCCATCCTATCCCTTCCGCTGCCCCGCCCTCAGCCAATCTCCCAAAGGCCCATGACCCTTCTGCCCTGGTCGGCGGGGGAGGGGGTGTGCCAAACCCTACCTCCTGCTGCAGGGAGGCAAAGCCTGCAAGCGGCAGAACCAGAGAGGGAAGGAGAGGCAGGCAGCTGTTTCAAGAAGTTCTAGTCAATTACAGTGCCCCGGCACGGTCTATCCGGTCTACTGGTAAAAGCAGCAGGGACAGGGGAGGGGAGATGATCTCTTGTGAGTTTCAGCAGCAGCCTGTCACCTGCGGATCTACCCGTTCCCACTGCCCCCCCCCCCCCCTCCAGGCAGTAGAGAGGAAAGGTAGATTGAGAGCTTGTCAGCTGTGGATCTAGCCTGGGGCAGTGTAATTGACTAGAAATTCCTGAAGCAGCAGCCTGCCTCTTTCCCCCTCTCCACCACCCTGCAACATGACGGAGAGTTTGGCGCCCGCGCCCCTGCCAGCGCCCCCGCCTCTGACCTCGGTCCCCTTCTCCTCCCTCTCTCCTTCCCCTCCCGCCCCCCCAGAGGCAATAGATAGAGCAAAGCTAAATTGCAAGCCTGTCGCCTGCAGATCCAGCGGCAGTTAGTGTAATTGATTAACATCTTGAAGCAGCTGCCGGAGTACTTCCGGGTTGCAGTTGGAGTACTTCCGGGTTCCATCAGGCGTACCGGACCACCGGAGTTTTACTGTACATACTTCAAATAGCTTGGATTTCGTTTTGACTTCTTCAAAGTGTTTTTTTAAAGCATAAGCCACATGATCTCTCACATACATACTTTTTTTCCTATTTTTCATTTTTTCCCTTATTCAAATGTTCACATTCTTATGACTGAACTACTTTATCAACTCATTTATTTTGAGTATACAGTCTGTAAGCTGAATAAGTCTTCCTGAGGAAAAGAAGGATTAACACGTCTCAATTTATTTTCTCTCAAATTTTCAGCTCATTTTCTATAGGAAAAATTGTCACTAAAATGTACTAACCAAGCACAATAATCTACTCATTCTCTCATGACAAAGAGCAAATTAAACATTTTACTTTGTCCAAAAAAAAGCTTACCCACCTACTCACCAGAGGGAAGTAAATTTTGCAAGTTTGATTTAAAAACATACTCTGTATATTTAGAATTCAGGGTTAGGGGAATGTGTGTGGCACAGAGCTTATCATAGGAATTTAAATTAACAACTCTCAATTATGTAATCCTTGATTACAAAATACTTTGCTTGCAATTGTTTAACAATATGCAGTGGTTTTAAGTGAAAATCACAGCAAATCCATACAATGATAGGGATTCACAAGATGAGCTCCTTAAACAGTTAACATTAAACCCCATCCAGTTAAGCCATCACTGTTTAGCTGAAAGCATCATTTTTATCTTTCCAACACTTCATCTTATACGTGAAAGTTATTTTTTGTGAACAGTTCTCCCAGAGTATTACTAATGATCTTAGTAGATAGTTCTTTCAGAAATAAGAAAAATAGTGATTCAAATGTAGACAGTGAATGACAACAAAGCCTGCATGTTGGTGGTGCGGTTATGTGAGTGTGCATCTCATTTATCTTTACAAAATTTACTTCCTGTTGCATTTATTATATGTAGAGATGAATATGACTTGTTTAACTTGAAATTTTAGGATTAAAATAGACCACTGGGCACGTCCAATGTATTTCCATTGAATAAATCAGCTCTTAGGCAAAATCTTATCATTTGGAGCACTTTATTCACACTATTATCAAGAAGAAACCTGGTAACAAGAGTGAACGTATAAGAAACTCAGAATTTGAATCTAAGTATTTTAGCAGGATGCAATTATTGATATTTACCAAAACTCAATGAAAATCAAGAATTACTGTGTTAACACAATGAAAGTTACTAATTTATATCACAATTTAATAATAATATTGAAAAAGATGTATATACAAACATTTAAAAAAAGACACAAGGCCCAATATTGCCCTATTTGAACACTACAAAGGGGATTGTAATCTGGCTATAGCTGGAAAATGAGCAAAACAAAAGGAAGATTTGAAACAGGAATGAAGCTGACAAAGCAAACTCCTGCACCAATGTCCACCACTTCCTAGTTAGGAGCATTTTAACAGCTTCCTCCCCACTTCTGAAAATATACTTAAAACCTCACAGCAGCATCTTATAAAAAACACTCCTTGGAAATGTTATCCAGGAACACAGTAAGCTTCCCACATGCTTTTGTTAGGACATTTCCATTTGACATTTTTTCTAAAGTTGCAGCATCACAACATACCTCTTCTGCTGCTGCTTCTGACAACAGGCCTTCTTTCTGAGCACAGGTCACATGGAAATACGCTCTACACATGCCAGCATCACAACTAATGCAAACACCAGTTCTGGCAAAACGAGGATCTTCGCAGAAACTGCATTCCTATCACAGAAAAATGGTAAAATTAACTACAGCATAAACTCTACAATAAAGATTCCACATTCCATTTAAAAATGGCATAAATGAAAGATATTTTAAAGCCTTCTATACAGACATGTAAAATCTGTATAAATGTTACTAATGGATGGATTAAATCTTATGAGGTATACCCAGGCAGTTAAGGCTAGCTATCTAAACTAGGATTTGATATAATTTTTATAATCCTGTATTCCCTTTTAAACAGGTAAAGTACAAAAAGACTTGAAATAATAATGCTGGTTCTTTTTTATTTTTTCCTTACACTAGTAGGTTTCAACTTAGACTATGCACATTACTTTTTTATGCACCTAAAAGTTCACGGATAAAAAATTAAGAGGAATTAAACATAACAGTATCCAAACTACACTAGCAACTTTATAAACTCTACAGATAAATTAAGAATCACCTCACCCAAAAATGCAATATATTGCAGGTTTGCAAGAAGCTGTGAAAATGCAGTAACCCTATACAACAGTTTAGTCATGAAGTGAAGAATACTTCATTAAACTGTATAAAACTGAAGTTCTGAGGGAATTCAGATAGGCAAAATATAACTATCTATATTTGCATTAAAAACTGAGACCTGGCCTTGATTATCAGGGTTTGACAAATACTGAATCGACTCACCCATGGCAAGTAGATTTCAGCTGGTCGCCCCATTCACCAGCGGCCTGCGCATGCACAATGTGGGTCTTGCGCATGCACAGTGCGGAGCTGGCAAGCAGGTTTTGCTGCCGTTTGTCAAGCACTTTTGATTATGATAGGTTTACTATTTTATTTTGCTAACATACTGCTCAGCGTTGGATTACTGACTCTGCTTACCTGTGAAGAGTATTTAGCCTATAATCTTTTTTTAAAGCTTGTGATGTGCCCAAGTTACTACTTCTACTCCTATTAATCAGATATATTAACAAAAAGAACAGCTATTATGTAGAATAGCTGCTGTACAGAGGCTGCCCATTTGCTGAATGTTTTGGAAGACTTGTAGTAGGAATGATGGAGTGCCCGTTCCAATATGCACAGGCTGCTCTTCAGTTATCCTGATATAAACATTTGGGGGGGCGGGGGAGGAGAGAAGAGTTGGTTAATTTAATTCTTATGAAAAGTCCCATACTGACATGTTTGGGAACTCAAATTTTACATGCACCAAATGGGTACAACAAAAGAAGCAACAAGCAAACTCTGTTCCACTTGGCCTGACAATGAAACAATATTTGAATGTAAGGAAACCAATGAGCCATCTACCAGAAGCTTTTTAGTCTCTGCTTGAATGCCATTTTGTGCCAATTGTGATAGTAATTTGAGTACTATGCATATGCACCCTCTTATTAACTGGATTAAGAACAATTACACCTCACATAAAAATGTAGGACGTTAAAGGATTTTTTTCAGTTCAAAGTGGAGCCCTTGATGTTCTGTCATTTTTTGTTTTAAATATGCTTTGTAGAAATTCTTTTGAAATTTCTCTTATCCATTGTTAGTTTAGGATTCCAGAGAACCTAAAGTAATTCTTACTGAATGTATATCTGCCTCCTTTCTTATTACTCTCTTTCTATTTCTCCACTCAGACTCCCATACACTCCTCAGCTCTCTACATTCATACTTTGGCAGAATGCCATTAACACACATTATGAGGTAATGAGTGTCTCCAGAAAGGAAGAGAGAGGGGGGAAAAGATGACAAGAGAAAAAAGGACACATGCTTCTGTTTTTATTGCATCTGTTGCACAAAAAGAATTACAAAAAGTTACTAAGATATGTCATGCCATATTATGTACAAAGAAAATAATACTATACCTAGATAAACATGTCTCTTCTAGACTTACCTTGGCACCATATTTAGAATAGTTCATTTCGGTAAGAGTTACTGGCCGCAGCTTGTCAATATCTCCAAATGCCACTCCTGGAACATAGAGGGCACAAACAATGTGGACCCACCTGCAACAAAAGATAAAATTATGCCATTAACATCAAGAACACCACTTCTGCTCTTATTTTGGCTTTCCCCAGACCAAGTGTTGACAGGAGCTTCATATGGCTCATTGTGAAATACAGGTTCAGTAAAAACCACAATCGTTACCTCTCCCTCCCCCTATTATCGTTCGGCTTATACACTGCATGATTTGTATGCTGACTTTTGTGGGGAATGAAGAGACGCTGCTCCCAGAACAGAGACAAAAAGTCACTTTGTCATAGGGAGTTTCTCTTCTCCTGATTCTGGATTTGCTTCTGGATATTCTGAATGATCTGTCATTTGATGATGCAAAGACAGAACTCATTAGATCGCCTAAGTCCTGAAAGTAAGTTACAAAAAGCAGTAGCAGTACTAAACCTAAAATTTGAATGTTGAGAACCAACCACCACTTCATAAATGAGATTTTTAAAAAGAAGCAAGGTTTCTTTAATGAAACATCAAATCACAGAGTGTGTTTTCTTAGGAGCCAGCTGGTATACTCTGTTTTGCAGTATCAAATATTAAGGTATAAGACTGGTCTTATAAACATCTCAAATTGAATTAATTCAGGAAAGTTTTATGATCTGCATTACAGCAGTCTGATTAAATTATCACAATAGTCCTTACTAGCTTTATCATCAATGAAGGACTACATGATAAAATGAAAAAAAAGATGACTTTGAGGACATCAGATGAACAATGTGTGAACATGGCAAAATTATCTTCAACAATATATACAGACAGCATGCTAATCTCCCAATTTGAGGCCACCTGGTTACCCGGGTTACGTACAAGATAGGGACTATAGGTTTGTTCTTAAGTTGAATCTGTATGTAAGTCGGTACTGGCATCCAGATTCAGCCGCTGCTGAAACTGATCAGTTTCAACAGTGGCTGAATCTGGACGCCAGTTCTGACTTACATACAGATTCGACTTAAGAACCCCAGGCATCCCCAAGCCAGCCACTGCTGAAACTGATCAGCAGCTGATTAGAGGAAGCCCCAGGCAGGGGCTTCCTGTAGTCAGCCCCTGGTCAGTTTCAGCAGCGGCTGACTTGGGGACGCCTGGGGCAGAGCAGCTGGGGTGACAGTGGCTGAATCTGGACGCCAGTTCTGACTTACATACAGATTCGACTTAAGAACCCCAGGCATCCCCAAGCCAGCCACTGCTGAAACTGATCAGCAGCTGATTAGAGGAAGCCCCAGGCAGGGGCTTCCTGTAGTCAGCCCCTGGTCAGTTTCAGCAGCGGCTGACTTGGGGACGCCTGGGGCAGAGCAGCTGGGGTGCTGCTGGGTTGGTCCAGTAGCGCTGCCGCTGGACCAACCCAGCAGCACCCAAGCTGCTCTACCCCAGGCACCCGGAGCCAATCCGCGCAGAAAGTGGGCCG